AAAGACGCCTGTAGGTCGCGCGAAAGCGCGACAAATGGCAATAGCCCGTGCCGCGAGCACTGCAGCGCGTAGGCGCAAGGGTAAGCAAGTGGCAAAAAGTAAGCCTACGGGCTCCCAAGGACCAGCGAACACAAAAGGTGCCCCGAGCAGGGTATCAGCAAAGCTGAGACTCGGCGAAAAAGTGAATCCCGAGCTGTCCCATGCCACGTCGCAGGCAAACCCAAGCAAAAATGCTGGGCGCGATGATTCCTATCACCACCAGCAGAACGACCCCGATCGTTATCATACGGGTGGCCCCCACACCTCACGGGGCGGTTCGTACCACCGCGAGGGACGTAGGACTTGCTACCTTAGCATCCGAACCACTTTAAAAGCTCCCATAGCATTTATTTCGTATTGAAAATCCATATTCACGTGCGTTCCTTGTCCAATCAACGTTGCGCACGTGTCAATTGGTTGGTGCCTAAACCGCGCATCAACATTAATAATGCTGTGTAATTTACATATCTTTTTTTTTTTTTTTAATTGATGCTATCTATCTCCACCTTTATATTATTATATCTCTTTTATCATTTTTTTTTTCCGAATCTCAGTATTACCCTCTTATAAAACGAATATCTTAGACAAATTAAAAATAATAATTGTAATCAAGATATGCATTTATTATAGAAATTCTAATTTCCATTCTAAATCATAAAACCTTATTTCTTTTATCAATATTTTCAATGCCTCCTTCATTATTTTGATTTTTGACTTCAACTTGTTTTCCCTTTTTATTTATTTATCTATTTTTAATCAAAAAACCAAAAAACTGTGCTACTATATTTGTCTTTTTTATTGATGACCGGAGTTTAAACCAGCTTATACGCATCTCAACTATTCCCCTGAGATCTTGGAATTATCGGTCGGATAATGACTCTAGTGACTACCCTTATTAGTAACCTAAAAGAGACTTGAATCTCTATCGAATCACTCAGTCATCTAGAGGAGTTTGTTACTATATTTTTCAATGATGTTAAGATTAGTTAAATTGTTTTGTAACTTCAATATTTATGTCAAACTTTTCCAAACTTACATATAGTGTTAAAAAAATATTTGATTATTAAAAAAAATCTATTTCATAATTAAAATAGGCACAATAGTTTTCAATAACAAGATTTCATGAAATAAAAAAAAAATGTGATTGTTATCAAAATTATATAAAATAAGTGTTCAAAAAATATAAGACAAATTATTAAAAATAATTTTTGAAATATATGGAGTTTATTAAGATATTTAAAAAAAAAAATTTAATGGAGTTTTTCTAAAGTGAAGTTTAAAAAGACAAAATGGAGAGGGCAAACAGCATCACTACAAAAAAATATCATGCTTGAAATTTAATGCTAAATGACATGAATTATTTAAATCTGTTCTAAAAATGTCATACTTGAAGGTCTTAAAAAAAAAATCTAGTCTATTGAAGGTTTTCAAAAGTAGGCAATTCTAACTTTTGAATGGTGATACTTATACCACAATTGTTCCCTTACTTCCGTAGTAGATTCGATTGTATCATGTACGGTACACTGGAAGAAGACTTTTTTTTTTTTTTTTATTCCGATACTTATTCAGTGGTGGGGAGATATGTGTTATGCCTCAAAAATCATGCTTGTGTCAGTCTAATAAATGTGTTGTCAAGCTCATATCTCCTCAAAGATATTCACACCAACTCTATCTCATTTCAAAGAGATGAATGGACGAGAGCCTTCCATGTGTCAAGGCAACTTGCAAAACACTCATTACATTGAGTGCAAAGGTGTATAAATGGGCACTCATCTTCCCGAAGAAGGAGGCTGGGCTGAGATTTGAGCTTCATTTCATTCTCTCTCTGTAAACACTATATTTCTTCATCTTTGTATGCCTTATGGGCAATATCATAGAAATAGTCAGAGATCAATAAAATAACAGTGGATGTAGGAGTCGCTTGTTACATCCAAATCACTATAAAAACCCATCTTGCCAATCTTTTATTTATGTTTTTTGCAACATATATAATATCAGCTCCAGATTCAAATCTCATGGATTCATCACGTGTGATTCCTAAGTCCGCTTAGCGCTTCTCACGTGCGAGTCATTGACGTCCAAAGTCAAGCATCAACAGTTTGGTGGCCCATGCAGGTCCGATTCTCAAGCCTGCGTCCAAGTTCCCTGATGGCGTGCTCAAATCTCAAACCTGCGTCAGAATTCTGCAATCGTGTGGCCAGATCGCAGATCGCACATGTTAGAATTCTCCAATCGCGTGGCTAGATCGCACGCGTCAAAGTTCTCCGATCGAGTGGCCATATCGTAGATCACACACGTTAGAATTCTCCTATCGCGTGGCCAGATCACAGATCGCACGCATCAAGATTCTCCAACCACGTGGCCAGATCACAGATCGCACGCATCAAGATTCTCCAGCCACGTGGCCAGATCGCATATTGCACGCATCAGAGTTCTCCAATCACGTGGCCAGATCGCACGCCCATGCCTTCTTGATCCTCGACTTCAGATCGCTGATCTTTAGCTTCAAATCACGTGTTCAGATCGCTGATCACACGCTGAGATCGCTGATCTCTTATGCTATTAGGTAGAGCTCGTTATGATCTCTCAGGTCGAGCTCGTCATGACCTTTTCAGGTCGAGCTCGTTTTGACCTCTAAGATTGAGGTCATTTTTCTCATTGAGGTCGTTTTGACCTTTCAAGTCAAGGTCGTGTTGACCTCTCAGGTTGAGGTTTTTTTGACCTCTTAGGTCGAGCTCGTTATGACCTTTTTAGGTCGAGCTCATTTTGACCTCTCAGATTGAGCTCGTTTTGTTCAATCATGTCGTTTTGACCTCTCAGGTCGAGGTCGTTTTGACCTCAAGTTGAGCTCGTTTTGCTTAGATTGAGTTCATTTTGCTCTCAAGTTGAGCTCGTTTTGCTTATATTAAGCTCGTTATGACCTTTCAAGTCGTGCTCCTAGCAGATTTCAGGTCGAGCTTCTAACAGATTTCAGGTCGAACTCCTAATAGATTTCAGGTCGTGCTTCTACCAGATTTCAGGTCGTTTTCGTAACAGATTTCAGATTTCAGTTCAAGCTCTTCAGTTCGAGACTGTAGCCATTCAGATCAAAGACTTGAGTTTCTGAAGCGCGATTACGCATTTAAAAAACTGGGGGGCTTCTGTTATGCCTCAAAAGTCACACTTATGTCAGCCTAATAAATGTGCTGCCAAGCCCATATCTCCTCAAAGATATTCACACCAACTATATCTCATTTCAAAGAGATAAATGGACGAGAGTCTTCCATGTGTCAAGGCAACTTGCAAAACACTCATTACATTGAGTACAAAGGTGTATAAATCGGCACTCCTCTTCCCGAAGAAGGAGGTTGGGTTGAGATTTGAGCTTCATTTCATTCTCTCTCTGTAAACACTGTATTTCTTCATCTTTGTATGCCTTACAGGTAATATCATAGAAATAGTCAGAGATCAATAAAATAATAGTGGATGTAGGAGTCGCTTATTACATCCGAACCACTATAAAAACCTCTCTTGCCAATCTTTTATTTATGTTTTCTGCAACATATATAATCTCAGCTCCATATTCAAATCTCATGGATCCATCATATGTGATTCCTAAGTCCGCTTAGTGCTTCTCACGTGCGAGTCGTTGGCGTCCAAAATCAAGCGTCAACAATATGTATTACACTGGTGTTTATATATTTTAACATTTTGCATTCATTTATCCATCCTTCTGTTATATCTATATTATATTCTATATATTTATTAAGTATTAATTCTTAAATTACATATTAATATAGCTCAACATTTAAGTATAAATCTTAATTTTTTATTAAATATCTAATCACCTTTTCTAATATTTTGTTGAACAAAAATTATGTTTTAAGTAGTAATGTGTTCTTAAAAATTAGACTATTATAGCTTAATTACTTAAAAAATGATTTAGTATTTAATTGAATACTAATTTCTCATTTAATTTGCTAGATTGCATTCATCTTAAATTATAAATGCTCGAATTAAAATAAGACTTCATCAATGAAAATGTTTAAAATAACACACGTGGATTGTTTCAGTTTTGGGAATACTACTTTTAGTATTCCCAAAAAAGTTAAACAGTAAAATACCCAAAAACTCAGATTTTTTGGAATACTACTCCCAATATTATTCAACTTTTTTAAACCCCTTAAGTTTGATAATTTAATTAAATACCCCTAAATATTTTTTTAAAAATTACAAAAACACCCCAATAATTCATATTTACCAGATTCCGGCCATCACTGTCGGAAAATGGCCGGAATCTGTTAGGATGGTGCACTACCGGCTGAATCGATCTAGCATTTTTCAGTCAGATCCACGGTGGATCTGGCCGGAAAAGGCCAGATCTAAGGCCAAAGATCTGGCCGTTGACGGCCAGATCTTTGGCCGTAACTGTTTATAACGACGGCCAACAAACGGTCATCGTTGATGGTCAACGACGACCGTTTGTTGGCCGTCGTTGACGAGAAAATATGGCCAGATCTGGCCGTTGACGGCCAGATCTGGCCGTAGATCTGGCCTTTGTCGGCCAGATCCACCGTGGATCTGGCCAGCAAAGGCCATATCGGCGCACGACCGGCAAGATCCAGCTGGTCATGCGCCAATACGGTGAACCCAGCCACCCTCCGGCGGTGGTGGCCGACTGTCCGTATTTGACATTGGGTTGGGGGTGTTTTTGTTAACTTTTAAGATTTTATTATAGGGGGTGTTTTGTAAATAAATAAATATAGGGGATATTTTATAATTTATAAATCCTACATCGTAATACCCGCTCAATTCAATTTTTTTTAAACTTTTCCTAAAACCTCCAAATTTTAAACCAAACGAGCCATAATAATCAATTAGGATGCGTTTGAAATTTGAAAAGAGCTTAAAAACAAAGCGGAGCGGAAAGAAGTGCGTAAATCTGAGGCAAAGAAAGATCTGACGGTCAAAGATGTTCTAGAACAAAGATGAATCACTAAAATGTAATTTAATCCAATGGTTGGTAGAGTTGCGTCAACTTAAAGCCACGCTGAATCCTCAATTCAAATCGCTCTCTCTTATAAGCCCGTTCTTATCGCCGTCTTCACCGTCTATCATTTCTCTGCTCACACCACAAACTCGCTTTCTCGCAGTCCCTCGCCCTTTACTAATGGTAAATCCCTCTCTCATTATTTTTCCTCCTCGATCTTCTAGCGAGACGCTAGCTTTTGTTTAACAATTTCAGATCTTGATATATTGTTTTCGAAATTTGTAGTTAGGTTTATTCACTGGAGCTTTATTTGTTTATTTATTGTTTTTTCAGGCTTTGCCAAATCAGCAGACTGTAGACTACCCGAGCTTCAAGCTTGTAATCGTCGGTGATGGAGGCACTGGTAAATTTACGGATTAATAACTTGTTTTCTGATTCGTGTTCCTTTTTTTTTTTTTCTTTTTTTTTCACTAATATCGCAACATTTTTATTCGTGAGGAGACTGCAATGAAGAAATATAATGTGTAACTTAAGAGACATGAAGCTTCGTGTTAACAGTTAAAGGACATATATACTTTTATTGTTTGAATTATTTTCGAAGTAGTTTTAAGGAGAAGTGATTGTCCGCTTGGAACTATTTCCCATTTATTTATTTATTTTATGTTAGGCGCGTTGTTTTAGTGATTGATAGTTTATGTTCTTAAGTGTCGTGTTTTGGGCTTGACTGAGTGTTTGAAAATGGTGTAGGAAAGACTACTTTTGTCAAGAGGCATTTGACAGGGGAGTTTGAGAAGAAATATGAACGTAAGTGTTTCTGGAGAAGGATTGATTATTGTGTTCCGTTTTTAATTACTTGATATATTTGTATTGATTTATATTTATTTCTTTAATTGCATTACGTAGCAACCATTGGTGTGGAGGTTCATCCATTGGATTTCTTTACAAATTGCGGGAAAATCCGTTTCTACTGCTGGGACACTGCCGGGCAAGAGAAATTTGGTGGGCTCAGAGATGGCTACTAGTGAGTGAATATAGGAGCTATTGACCTTATTGAAGCATTATGTTTTAAAATTAGATCTCATCAGTCGGATGATTTGAAATGTAATCTATCATGAAAATCTTATTAGCAGATTGTTGAGCGGATTCTGCGTGTCACCATGACCGTCTGACAACAGTGCAGCTTATGTAACTTTAATCTTTGCTTTTAACTGTTTCTCTGATTCCTAGCCAGGGATAAGACAAATGTATAAGGGAACTAAGAATGAACTGAACTTTATATGGGAAAGACCTGTTTCTGCTTTAGCTTAAGTGGGAAAAAATATGTGCTATGGTTGGGGTTAGATTTAGATTCAAATGGTACCAATCATAGATACAGGCGTTTAATGTTAGTATTTACGTATCCTTATAGAATAATATCCTTCAGTTTGAATGAAGGATTTCCTTTCCGTTTTTTGATTCTAATGCTAGTGGTGTGGGCTTAGTTGGACCTCCTGTCTTTTATTAACAGTTTTCCATCCTCATATGCAGCATCCATGGGCAATGTGCCATCATTATGTTTGATGTTACTGCCCGCTTGACATACAAGAATGTTCCTACGTGGCATCGCGATCTGTGCCGGTGTGTTTAAATGAAGTTTACCTTCTTTGTTTTAACTTCAGCTTTTCTTAGGTTTGTTTTGCTGTTGCATCTGTGATTGGTTTAACATTGTGTCATTTGAATGATAGGGTGTGTGAAAATATACCTATTGTTCTCTGTGGAAACAAGGTTGATGTGAAGAACAGGCAAGTCAAGGCAAAGCAGGTCACATTCCACAGGAAGAAGAATCTGCAGTACTATGAGATCTCTGCCAAGAGCAACTACAATTTTGAGAAACCTTTCTTGTACCTTGCCAGGAAGCTTGCCGGGTAATACTATAATGTCCTAATACTTTGTGGTATGCATGTGTTGTTAATAATACTTGACATTGATGATGGTGTTTTGATGACTCTAGGGACCCTAATATTCACTTTGTCGAGTCTCCTGCTCTTGCTCCTCCAGAAGTACACATAGACTTGGCTGCACAGCAACAGTAAGTGAACTTATCTTAGTGCTTGCAATCTTTTAGTTTTGAATTTATGGATTCTTCTCGTGTCTGAACAATTTGTGGCCGCTAGTACCCCTTATTTCATGGATCCTTTTTAGCCAGTCAGCTGGCACCTACTGTGCAATTTTTCAATTTAATTGAAATAATTAAAAGTACTTTCTACATCAATTGGTTCTTATCAAAGCAGGTTTTAATTTTTAGCCATAATTTAAAGTTGTTTATTCCTTTTGCCTGACTGTTGTATTTTTGTTTCCCTTAGGCATGAAGCCGAGCTTGCTGCAGCAGCTAGTCAGCCTCTTCCTGATGATGATGATGACGCATTTGAGTAGAGGGCAGTTGCTGGTGTGGCACAACCATATGTGCTTCTTTTTAAGCCCCCTTGACCTTGTATTAGCGTTTATCATTTGAAAATATTTGCAACATTTATATGGCAGGATTTAGTAATGGGAATGTAGTAGTTAGGTCTTCCTCCATATATTGTTGGAATGTGTTTTCTTGCTGGTTATACTTGCTATTGGATTATATTTTGGTGTTGTCGATTATGCTTTCTAAATACATTTAATGCATAGTTCTATATGTTCGAACTTGAATCTCTTAGTATAGTTGTCGCGCACATACAGTCAAAACTTGGCACAATTGCAAATCCATGGGACTGTAGGGTAAATTGAGTGATTAAATGTGTGAGGACTGACGACGAGCATTAATGTAAGGCACATTTTATGCTTGTATAGAGGCAAGGTTCCCTCCAATGAACTAGTTTCACATGGAATCTCATTTCTCTAGCTGGAAAATGCTTTATCAGTTTTAAATTTTAATGACGAGAAAGAAAGTGTTATATAGAGAGTTCTTTAGGGCCTTGGGCCTCGGGGAAGAAAGTCATAAAATATTGAATTAGTTCTACGTTTGGTATGGTTTTCCAGAGACTATTGAAAAAGGCAGAGTTTGTATTGAGTTTACTGTAAGTAATCGAATGAGCATTTAAAGTCCCTCTGGCAGAAGAAAGGACATGACCAAATCCTGGTGTTAATCTTTCGTACTTCAATTGTGTAATTGATTTGTAACAATAAATGATGGGTCAAATACTTACATGAGCGGCCCATCATCATGGTTCAAACATACTGATTTATCTTAATCCTCATTAAATGGACCGACTTTAACAATAGGAAATGCAATGATTCCTATATACGCTAGGCTTTCATCTCCATCTCCTAGGAGCCCTTGTTGAAGTTAAAAGAATATTAAAGCAGGAAGTAGGAAGAAGGAAAGTGGTAACATATAAGCCTAAAAGTGAGATGTGGATTTGGCAATAGCAATGGCAATAGCAATGGCTCCCAAAGTACAGCACTAGGTTAATGATTCAACATCTGAAGATTCTAAACTTTAGCAGGAGTCACGAGAAATGGACAATTCAATAGGGGTCTGAGAAGTGTCTGACATTTACCAAACTTTTAATCATGCTCTATACTTACTCACCTCAGCCTTTTTATGATTAATTGCAGTTTATTTAAATGTCATGTGAAATCCAGATGGCATAAGTAGATGGGCTCTGACTGTTACTGGTACATTACATTCACACCCACTTGCCCGTGTCTGAGGAACCCAATACGCGCTCCCGGTCGCCTTTACTTAGCCCCAAAGGCGAAGGAGTTGTCATTTTCTGTGTCGGTTCTAAGCATAGTGAAATATTTTGGTTGAGTGAGTCGTGGATTGCAGGCAACTGTTGCCGCCCACTAAACTCCACATCATTCCAACCAATTAGTGGGGTAAATGAAAGCTGGTCTTAGCCATTGCCAGCATGTTTACACAAGGTGGGGTGCCTTCTAAAAGACAATGTCCTAATTTTCAGGGGCTCATTGCCCTAGCCCAAGGCCCCATTTTTATACATCTTCTGTTTATAAGCTATTGGGTATCCACTGTCGGTGGATGGTCGGATCCCAGTTCCACTTCCTTTGCTTCCCCTTCCAATTCCTATTCTCTTCAATCCTTGTGTTTCTGCATTGCTATGTCGACCCTTCTTTTTTGGTGTATTGGCTATTCTTTCTTTCTTTTTCTTTCATCATAACTCTGTTTTTTGTCTTTCCACTTTGTTATGTATCACGCATTAGTGTAACAATTTATGCATCCATATATATATCTTTCATCATATCTAATCTTAGTCTTATATCAAAATAAAACAGCTGTAAATGGGTCACATCACATCTATATGCAACTTTCTTTAATCAAAATCGTATGGGTCAGAATTCATTTTTGGTAAAATTTTGACAGTTTATTAATTAAGGTTTTACATATTGTTGTATGTGATTTTTCCATCAAACTCGGAGCATCGCGAGGATATAGTTTGACCAAGAACCAGCTCGACTCCACTGATTGTTCGACCCAGCATAAACTCGTCGAGCTATAGCTCAACTCAGCAAAAGCTAGTTGTGAACAGTCTGAGTGATCGTTTAACCAATTCCCAGATAACTTCAAATCTCAGATATCTCAGGAATGATCAAATTGACAATAATCTTTGTGCAATTACAATGCCCAATCGCAAGAATATCGGAGTTACATTTCAATTTAATTGTAATCTCTTTATTTTCGCTCTCTCTTTTGTACAAACTCTGAATATAAACCCCCTTAAACTATGAGGAAAGGGTTGGAAAACATTCCTGGAATTACTATTGTGAGCTCTTATAGCAAATACATAGAACAGTGGATGTAGGCTTAAGAGTTCATCTCGCTGAACCACTTTAAAATCCTTTTTGCCATTTACTTTATTGCATTCATTATCCATTCATTGCTGGTTATCCATAATCACGCACATACCAGTTCCGATCTTGCCAAGGTCGATCGATTTGCGCTAGTTGGTGCAGATTACTGTATCAATATTTTGGCGCTAGAAGGAGGGCCTTCGCCAATATCTCAGAAATTTCGGCAAACAACCACAGTGATCTAACCATTTCAGGCTCACGATGGTGCGTACAAGATCAAAAACCACCACCAAAAACCACAACGATGTGGAGACCACCCATTAAGAGGTGCAATAGGACACCGCTGGGCGTCAACCACCATTGCCGCCATCTCAACATGCCATGAATAACCAGGGGCCAGGAATGTCAAACCCCGAAAATGGCTAGCTGATGCAGATGATCAGAATTATGGTTACACAGGCAGTGCAACGGAACATGGCTAACTGAGAAATCAATAACCAATCGCCCAAAATCTTAACCAGCTGCGCTTCATTGATCCCACCCCGACGGGTCGAACTTCAGCCAGGGACCAATCTGGCTCGTCGAAGCCAAGGGGTGACCAACACCCTTGACGTCAAAGGGTGCACTCCACTCAACAGTATGAGTCACGCGGGCGAACTAGCCTAGGAAGGCGGCCAGGGAAACAACCAATGGGTGAAAGCGAATGTAATAGTCGCCCACAAGACGCTCGACCTACCAGACGAAATCCATAGTGTCAGCATGCCAGTTTTAACCCATGCTCAAGACAAGCCCGATCCTCGCAGGCTTGAGAGACGAGTAATGTGTGCTAATCTGACAATGACCGACGTTCTGGTTGTAATCGATGTCATGAGCAACGCACTAGCGAGCATAATAACACTTATCGACGGAGCCATCATGACTCAACCTCGTGCATCAATGCGCATAATGGAGGGGGTTCACAAGCGACATATTTGCGAACTCACTTGCTTGAGGTAAGGTTGAATAGAGCTAGCTAGGGCAATCACAATGAAGACTTGGATCGTGTGCATAAAATGCTCCACGATCTAAGGGTCTGCCAGAATGGTGCGATAGAAGAAATAGTGAGTTCCTCCTTCACATAGGAGGTTCGCCAAGCCCTGTTTCCACAGGGATTCAGGGTGCTAGAGAGTAAGTTCGATGGGAGAGGAGACCCTAGGACTACCTCGACAATTTCAATGACTTGATGAAGCTACACTAGGTCTGTGACCTAGCAAAGTGCCACTACTTCACAGTCACATTGGTAAAGGATGCCAAGAGGTGGTACAAAAGACTCAAGATGAACTCCATTAGTTCTTGGCAACAATTCCAAGCGAGGAGAACTGACAGGGATTCAGGGCGCTAGAGAGTAAGTTCGATAGGAGAGGAGACCCTAGGACCACCTCGACAATTTCAATGACTTGATTGAGCTGCACTAGGTCTGTGACCTAGCAAAGTGCCACGACTTCGCGGTCACATTTGTAGAAGATGCCAAGAGGTGGTACAAAAGACTTAAGATGAACTCCATCAGTTCTTGGCAACAATTCCAAGCGAGGAGACAGTTCTCCTCGTTGTACTTACAACAATTCCAAGCGAGGAGACAATTCGCAATACCTCTCAGTTACTTGAGCAATATTCTTTAGGAGAGAGATGAAACTCTGACCTTATGTTTAACGAGGTTCCAGAACGAGCAAGCAAAGGTCGCAGATGCACCCAAAAAGTCAATCCGGACTTTGCTAATTACAGGCATCAGGCCGAACACGGAGTTGTGAAAACAGCTCCAAAGTGAAGATCACGTGAGCTTGATGAAGTCTTATCAGACGGTTGCAAAGCACCAGCGAGTAGAAAGCTCTTTAGCAGTCCTAATTGGAAGCTCGCCACGAAGAGCTTCGGACAAATAACAAGATCGCTCATCAGGTAAGCGAAGGGGCCAAGACCGTAATGATAGGGACCATAATAGGTCCCAAAAAAGACAGAAAACAGATAACTGCAGGGACATGCAGCCTTTCTCGCGATACACAGAATATACCTCCTTACGTAGGACATAACTCACATTTACGAAGTCTTCCGTGAGCCAAAGAGATAGCTCGCTCCAGAAAGGATGAGAGGGGCTCTAGGCAAAAGAGATAGGCAACAATATTGTCGATACCACCGGGACCTCGGGCACAACACCAATGAGTGTCGACCTTTGAAAGATGCCATCGAAGACCTAATACAAAGGTGTCATATAAAGGAATTTGTCAAGAAGGTACCAGCTCACGAAAATACTGGGAGCAAAATAACTAGGTCCAGCAGGCCCCGACCAATGCCAACCATGAGGTCCTAATGGGTACGATTTACGAGGGGCCTGAAATAGCGAGAAGCTCAAGGCATGTTCACAAGCAGTATGCTCGTGAGGCCAGAACAGATTCGGTTCCCCAGGTAATCAGCTACGAATAGAGGTCATCAAAGCGGCTTAGACAGGAAAGCGAGGTGGTAGGATTCACTGTTGAAGAATGTGAAGAATCCCCTTGCCATAATCATGATGCGATCGTAATTGCAGCTAGGATCGACAATACTAGAGTGCTGAGGGTAATGGTCGATAATGGAAGTGTAACGAACATCATCTTCTTGGGAGCCTTCCGAGAGATAAGGTTCACAATGAGGGACTTGAGGGCGTGTCCTTCACCACTCTACGGATTCACCGGGGATAGTCAGGTCCCCAAGGGAACAATCGACCTTCCCATGACTCTAGAGGCAAGACCCAAAATGGGGATAGTAATGACTGAATTCTTAGTGGTAAATTACTCAACCACATACAACGTCATCCTCAGAAGACTGATCTTGGATGATTTGAGTGCAATCACATCATTGTACTGCCAAGCAATGAGGTTCCCGACTCTCGAGGGATTTACGACGATCAGGAGCTGTAGGAAAGAATCTCGAGAATGTTACAACCGGCCATAAATGCCGCATTAAAATAGCCACTCCCAAGAACAATGGTTATTGAGAGTCAAGATGATTAAGAACTACAGGAAAGAATCTCGAGAATGTTACAACCAGGCCATAAACGCTGCATTAAAATGGCCATTCCTGAGAACAATGGTTATTATAGAGTCTGAACCACACCTCAGACCTCTTGCATCCACAAAGAAGAACCTGCGGTAGGGCCAACGGAAGAGCTACGAGAAATATGTGTTAGTGAGGAAGATCCAACTCGCGTACTGAAAATTGGTAGTAGCCTGAGCAAAGAAATGGTCGATAATCTGGTGGGGTTTCTGAAGAAAAACCTTGAAACGTTCGCATGCACCCATGCGGATATGGTAGGGATCAACCTCGAGGTAATATGTCACGGGCTGACTATCGACCCAAAGGCTCGACCAATAAGACAGAAAAAAAGGTCTATGGATGCAAAGCGTTCTAAACCGCTCAAAGATGAAGTTGACAAACTCCTGAACATCAACTTCCTCAGAGAAGTAAAGTATCCGGATTGGCTCGCCAACCCAGTCCTGGTTAAGAAATTGAACGGCAAATGACGGATTTGTGTCGACTTCACAGACTTGAATAAAGTATGTCCCAAAGACAACTTTCTGCTATCACGGATTGACCAACTAAAAGATACGACAGTTGGAAACGTACTATTTAGATTCATGGACGCATACTTGGGATATAACCAAATCCCAATGTATCAACTTGATGAAGAACATACCTCTTTTATTACTGACCGTGGGATTTATTATTGTAGGGTTATGTCGTTTGGCTTGAAGAAGGCTAGGGCGACCTACCAACGCTTAGTGAATAAGATGTTCGCCGACCAGATCGACAAAACTATGAAGGTATACATCAATGACATGCTCGTTAAATCAAAGGTCGCCAAAATCCATGTTGAGCATCTGGGGAAAATGTTTGACATCCTCAAAAAATACAGAATGAAGCTCAACCCTCTAAAATGTGCTTTTGGAGTAAGCTCGAAAAAATCTTGGGGTTCCTTATAAATCAACGAGGCGTTGAAGCCAACCTAGAGAAGATTCAAGCTTTGTTAGATATAAAAAGCCCAACCAACATAAGACAGGTACAAAGCTTGACAGGGCGTGTGGCCGCACTCAGTAGGTTTGTTTCCCAGCCACAGACAGATTTTACCATTCTTTGAGACCTTGAAAGGGAAGAAAGGTTTTAAGTGGACAAAGGAGTGCGAGAGAGTCTTCCAGAAGCTAAAGAAACATCTGAGACAACCTTCTTTGTTGTTAAAACCCGTCCAGGGTGAGCCACTGCTATTGTATTTGTCGGTATCAAAGTCTGCTATCAACGCAACATTGGTACGCGAAGAGGGAGGAGTGTAGTGGCCGCTATACTATTTGAGTAAGAGGTAGCTCGACGCGAAGATGAGATACCCCGAAATAGAGATACTCGCCTCTAGAAAGTTGCTGCCTAACTTCCAGGCGCACTCTATCCATGTGTTGACCAACTTTTAGTTAAGGAAAATAATGCCTCAGGCAGATTGATTCAGTGGACAATGTAAATGAGTTAGTATGATATAAAGTACATCCCGAGAATTGCAATCAAAGGTCATTGACGGATTTTATATCAGAATTCTCCTATCAGCCAAAAGGGGAACGAAGCCCGCCAAAGGCAAATAGCTCAGACAAAATCGACCAGCAGAAGCCAAAGGTCGATGACCTATGATAATGGACTTTGTATATGGATGGCTCATCAAATGAAAATGGGGCAAGAAAAGGGCTCTTACTTGAAAGTCTCGTAGGAAACCCAATCAGAGCCGCAATAAGTTTCGAGTTTATTGCCTCCAACAACGAGGCTGAGTACGAGGTGTTGCTTGCACGGATCCTCCTCAACAAGGAAATTAGGGCAAAGTCCATCAAAATTTACAATGATTCCCAGCTCGTAGTCCACCAGATTACTGGGGAGTACTAGGCAAAGGAAGATATGATGGCATTTTACCTCTAACTGGTAAAATTTGAGCTCGAGTTGTTTACATTCTTTATAGTTCTTTAGATCCCAAGGGAGAAGAACTCGGTAGTTGATGGTTTAGCCTATCTGGCCTCTACAATGAACCAATAGAAAGCTAATTTCATACCAGTTAAATTCCTCCCAAGACCGAGCATTTCCGCTCCACAAAAACCAGTCTTAGAAACGAGTCAGAGATACAGTTTGATGGATGTAATCATTGTCTACCTAAGGGATGGTATACCGCCAGAAGGAAGAATTGAAGCCAAAACACTTCGCGCAAAGTCAACTCGGTCCAGGCTCATCAATGATAAGTTGTATAAGCGCAAGTTCAGTGTACCGCTACTGCGATGTATCGACCATGAGGATGCATATTATGTTTTGAGGGAGATCCACGAGGGGATTTGCGGGGACCATGTAGAAGGCAAATCTCTAGCATACAAAGTGCTTCGTCAAGGTTATTACTGGCCAACAGTTTTCGACGATGCAGCATACTATGTGCGCAGATGCGACAGATGCCAAAGATTTGCAGATACTCCACGAGCTCTATTTCAAGAATTAACTACACTGACAAGCCCTTGGTCATTTGTAATCTGGGGACCTTATCGGCCCTCCTCAAGAAAAATTGGGTGTTAAGTTTGCAATGGTTGCTATTGACTACTTCACCAATTTAGTAGAAGACGAGCCTTTAGCTACAATCACATCTAATAAGTTAAAGAATTTCATCTACAAAAACATCATTTGTAGGTTCGGAATCTGCCACACTATAATTACTGACAACAGGAAATAGTCTGACAGTGAGGACTTTAGATCTTTTTTACGAATAGCTCGGCATCAAGAAAAGCTTTGCCACTATTTATCGGCCTCAAGCCAATTGTCAAGTAGAGGCTGTAAACAAAGTCATTAAGCAGACCATTAAAAAGAAGCTCGACGCTCTGAAAGAAAGATGGGCCAATGAATTGCCCGAAGCCTTGTGGTCTTACATAACAACAGTCAAGAGCTCAATAGGAGAGACCCCGTTCTCTCTCTTATATGGGTGTGAAGCAATGGCTCCAGTCGAAGTAGGGATCAGTTCGTTCCGAATGGAAGTTTTCGATGATGAAGCCAATCAAGATCTTTGCCGCCTGAGGCTGGATATAGTCAAAGAACTTCGGGCCAAGTCTCAGTTAAGGCTTGCCTTATATCAGCAGTGAGTTAGGAGATACTTCAACACCAAAGTCAGAAACAGAGACTTTGAAGTGGGTGATCTAGTTCTCCAAAAGGTCATCCAGGATACTCAAAACCTGAACTTAGGGACACTTAGGCCCGAATAGGAAGGTCCATTCAGGATCTTCACAAAGCTCTCACTTGGAACGCCTCAACGACGAAGCAATACTACGAGCCTGGAACGCCAAACATTTATAAAGGTATTACCAATGAGCAGCTCGGGTTCCAGGCATGTGTTATTTAATCATTCATTGTAAGGCCGATTATGGTCAAAATGTCCTATCAATAAAAGAAGTATTATTCAAAAAAAAAAAATTGTTCATCATTGTTACTTTTACCTGTTTAGCGCTTATTATTCACTGCTTCAAAAATTGCGACATATACGATAACATCTAGAAAAGAACTTGGAGTCGAGTTCGAAAAAAGACAGCTTATCTCAATAAGCCATGCCAAAATCTGACTATATAAGGGTGAAATATCTCAAATCGACGAAGTTAAACTTGGAAAAGTTTAAGAAAAACACGTCGAAGGAAATTGGCCCTAAATTGATGACCAAAACTCGAAACGGATAATGGATCTGAAGTCGGAGTTGTCACATAAGATTTCATCGCATATATTCAAAAAAGCTCCTCAAGAAGCGAGCTACGCATAACTTGGAGCAAATTTGGTTTTTTTTTAGAAGTCCAGTTAAGACGATTGAAATGACTCTGTAAGATTATAAAAAAGAATTGGTCGATAAGGATATATTACAATATCTTCTTTTCATTAACGAGTTCGATTACAAATTTAACAAAAAAAAAAATAATAATAATCTTTTAGGCAGGTGGAGGAGCAGGGACATCATCTTCGGCCAAACCAAAGAGCTCGCCACTGACTATAACAGATGGACGGTTCCTCGACGGAAGGAATGGTAGCGACCTTTTTAAGGTTGGGAGCCTCACCCGTAGAAAGATCGGTAACTCTGGGGGGAAGTATAGCCAAGGGAGTCGGATCCTGGACTTCTTGCTTGAGGCCAATCTTCTCCTTACCTTCCTCGACCTCATCCTGGCCCTCACCATCATCCTTGAAATCATCTGAGTATACGTAGACCATTCCTTGAGTTTCGGTTTTCATCCTATCAACCTCTCTCTAATAAGCTCGCGGAAGGAAAAAGAAGTCAATCGAGGGGTGAACTTCCCATAACTTCTGCATGAGAAAGATTGATGTCTGCCAAGCCTGAGTGGTGATGGCCTCATTCAGCTCCTCAATTTGAAGCTTGAGTTGCTCGGCCTTAACTTTAGCTTTTCATTGACCTTCCACTTCTTGGGCAAGGTCAAGCGAGGTCTAGTTAAACTTTGTCTCCCAACCCGAGGGAGCTTTTTGGACTGAAGAAAGCTCATAATTCAGCTTGTTATTGGCACCCTACTGCTATGCCAAACTCTTTCCAACCTTGGTTGCTTCGGCTTCAGTCTTAGCTTATGCAACCTCTCGCCTTTATCTTGTCAAGGAACTCCCTTTCCTTGACCCCGAAGGCCGCCATCTCCTCCCTAAGCCGCTCAAACTCAACCTACTTTGCTTCCTTTGCCTTTTTAATGACCTAGACCCTAGCTAAGGCATCCTCTTTCAATGTCTCTGCCAGTTGCCATTCTTTGTGAGTGCCTTTCAACGTATGATAACACTCATCGTAGAGAAGCCTACTCGCAATGGCAGCCTAAAGAAATGATGAAAAGTCAACAAGAAATACTGATAGCAAGCATAAAACAATAAAGAAGGTGAACTACTAGTACCTTTAACGTATAGCTACACACCTAGGCCAGCATCTCGGTGGGAGATGAATCCCTAATGCCCGTGAATGTTTGCAAGGTGACACCATCCCTAGTCGTTGCGACCCCAACACTGATATGGTCGGGGAGTTGGTCAATCAATGCATCGACCGTAGTTGGGGTTGCTTCGTCCATCTTCTTGCCTCTCGACCGAGATGAGTTGGACTTACTTCCCCTGGCAGCGATAGTTTTACCCGTAGAAGCAGACTTTTTCTTGGCCAAGTCCTTAGCTATAGACTTCTTTTGGCCGTCAGCCTGCATGGCAACCTCTTTGCTTGACCCAACCTACTACTTGGCCACTTTTTGCTTTTCTGAGCCCCCTTGAGGCTCGATCAACTTCTTCTTGCCGAAGCCGTTATACTGTTCAGGTGTCTTTTGTTCTCCCGAGTCCACAATTACCTCAGGTGTTTTCTTTGTCGGCCCTTTTTGGGGCTCAGAGATATCTTTCCTGCCAACTGCCTTTAAGGCAATCATGGACTTCTTCACACTTGGGTCTTCCCCAAGTTTACCACCATTATGCTTCACGTCAGCAATGCCAGTGGGTTGCTTTGTTGCCAAAGCATCCGACGTTTTCTTGGCAGCCGTAAAAGCCACTGCCTTCTTCTTGAGGCCTTTTGGTTTCTCAGCCCACATTTCTGGAAAAAAGAGAAGCAAATGGTGAGCAACCTATCTACGTAGAAAAAATAAGAGCAAGCAAGCTATAACTAGCCTTTCTCGAGAATGGTAAGAAACTTGGTGTTGCCTTTACAGAAGTCATACTCCTTTAAGTGAGGAAGGGAAATGATCTTGTTAACGTTGTGTTGTCTATCGGGCAGGCCGCTAAAACGTTAGAGCCTTTGCAAACTTGCAGCAAAAAGACAATTTTGCTCGACATTAACTACAAAGCAAAGCAACTCAGTTAGCTTAAACATAAATTTTGAAAGTTGTTTTTGCACACACCGGGGGTCGAAGTCTTACTCGCTTCCAAAGCAAAAACACTGGTCTCCCAGGCCTCATAAAAGAAAAATTGGGAGTCGTAATGCGGGACCTTCTTTGGGATATTAATCAGCCCGTTGAAACGTACCTTCCTCATCTTGGAAAGGTAGTACATCTGGTCTTACCCCTTTTTTAGCCTATACAAATGGACGAGCTCCTCAACAGATGACTCACCCAAATCGGCGATCGTGTATGCTATATACAGACCTATGATTATAATGTATGAGTTCACAGACAGTTGGAGAGGAACAATGTCGAACCGTCTGAGAACCCTATCAATAAAATAATAAGGGAGAATAGATACCTTGCATCTCAGGAGGGTCTCAGAGATCGCCACCTATTCGGGTGAGGGATTCTTCCAAGAAGAATCCTTAGGAACTATCAAATTGAGTAGCGGTGCATAAGTCTCTCTTATGCACTTTAGGTCCTCGATATTAATCGAGGATTGTGGTTCCCTCTGCAGCCAATGAACTAGAGACCGCTTAGATTGAGCCAACTACACTGAGGCACGATCATACGAGCCCGCCGCATTAGGGTCCGAGCTTCGCGCGACGATTTCCTCGAAAACCTTAGGGATTATACCCTCGAGGACTGTCGAACTTGTAGGTGAATCGAACATGCGATCAATCATGTGGCTGCAGGATGAAGACATAATTAAAGCTCACTTCTAGGTACCTGAAACAAAAGTGAACCTGTGTCAGAGCTCAAAAGACTCGGCGACCTATCCACAATTTGCTTTTAGTTCAAGCACCCAAGATAGCTTGCGTCAGACGACGAATGCACATGATCTATCCAGGATTCTGACGGCCATCGCATTAAACCCTCCTTAAACCTAGGACCGTTGGAGACACGTTTAAAAACCTTAGTAAATCCCTAGAAGGCTCAATGTGGCCACGATAATGGTCACCCTTAGCCGCAAAAATAGAGAAAGCAACTAAAGAGAGGGAAAGAAGCCTTACTAGAATAAGAGAATGTGAAGAACTCGTCGAAAAGAGCACCGTGACGACAATGAAGTAGCAACAAAATAAGGAAAAGACGTCAAAGAATTTTCACAAGTTGAGTGAGTTTTTGATGACTTTGTTCGCTTTTATAGTAGCTTGCATGGGAGGCGAAAAGGCGGGGTTCGATCGTAGCTGTCGATCTACAGTGAGTCCCAACCCTCCATTTATTGAGTAATCTTAGCCCTTACACGTGGCCACGTGTCAACCATCAGCGAGGGGGGACAAACCATCAGACTGCTGTAATGATAACTATTGCCACACGTCACCTCAACTCGGTGTGTGGACAACTAAAGTCACCCACGCACGATGAAACGTGACTGTCAAAGGCTGCCGCATTTAATGCGACATAATCGCGTGGAATTTACATAATTGTCCTAACCATTCATATTCCAAGTTTTTCAGGTATCATAGGAGAGAGAAGATCAAAGTGTGGAGTATGTCGACAAAGCATGGGGTTCGACCCTTGGAGCTTGACCGAACCTGCGTCCAGAGACCTACTGATGATGTCGAGCTTGATATCAAATCGAGTGATAGTTTTTGAAGCCCAAAACGAGCATCGAACACTAGGGGGGCAGACGTTGTGTGTGATTTTTCCACCAAGCTCGGAGCATCGCGAGGATATAGTTCGATCCAGAACCAGCTCGACTCCACTAATTGTCTGACCCAACATAAGCTCGTTGAGCTATAGCTCGACCCAAAACAAGCTAGTCGCAAATAATTCGAGTGATCATTCAACCAATTCCCAAATAACTTCAGATCTCAGATATCTCGGAAATGATCAGATTGACAGCAATTTTTGCGCAATCACAACGCTCAATCGCGAGAATATCAGAATTGCATTTCAATTTAATTTGTAATCCCTTTATTTTCGCTTTTTCCTTTGTACAAACTTTGTATATAAACCCCTTTAAATGACGAGGAAAGGGTTGGAAAATATTCCTAGAATTACTATTGTAAGCTCTCACAGCAAATACAAAGAACAGTGGACATAGGCTCAAGAGTTCATCTCATCAAACCACTTTAAAATCCTTTTTGCCATTTACTTTACTGCATTCATTATCAATTCATTGCTGGTTATCCATAATCACGCACACACCAGTTCCGATCCCACCAAGGTCGATCGGATCGCTCTAGTTGGTGCAAATTTTTGTATCAACACATATATTACAAAATACAAATACATGTATATATCAATCAAATCAAATGGAA